TGTATGTGTGTGTGTGTGTGTGTGTGTGTGTGTGTGTGTGTGTGTGTGTGTGTGTTATTAAAAAAAAAATAATTATTATAAGATTTTTGAAATATTTATATTTTAATAATATTATATTTGAATATTTATATTTAATTATAATTTATTTATGATTTCATCTTATTTTTCATACGTGATTTTTTTCTTTAACGTGATTCTTTGCATAATTTTAATAATTCTCACGACGCTTAAAATATTGATATTGTAAATATTGATATTGATATTGTATTTAACTGTTTAAAAAATTATAATATATAATTAACATATATTAATAATTACATAAATTTGATTTCAATTTTAGCTTTGCTTGGTTAGTAAATGAAAAATTTCGAATGACTATTGTTATACAGTTTATTGTGAGTACATTGGTAGTATGTTTCAATCTATATCAATTTACGAAGTCAATTACAAAATATATGCAATTAATAATGTATATGGGCTGCATGTTATCGCAAATCTTTTTTTATTGCTGGTATGGTAATGAAGTTAAATTAAAAGTAGGTATTTTTAAAACATACCTTTATTTCTTGATATGTAATATTAGATGTTGTACAAAAATTAAATGAATAAATTCTGAATTATTAAATATAGAGTCGACAACTAGTCGATAGCATATTCGAAATGGAATGGTTTGAATTAAACAAGTATACCAAACAATCTTTATTAATGATTATGAAACGAAGTTCAAGACCAATCGAGCTTACTAGTGCTTATGTTATCTCTATGAATCTTGATTCATTCGTGAGTGTTAGTATTAAAATTCATTGTTCATTAATAACCGAGAGTGTAAGTACGGTTCTAATGTCAAATTTGCACGAACTAATTTTCTTTAATAAAAGATATCAAGTTAAATTCAATTAAAAATAAAATTAATTATTTTTTATATAAAAAATAATATTAAGTATAACATATATATTTAAAAATAAAAAATTAAATGTTATTTTACATATTTCCTTTAAAAGTTTTAATCTAATATAATATAATATTGTATATATTTAATTTAATTATTTAATTTAATTTAGTGTAAATAATATTAACAATATTAATTCCAGATACTTAAAACATCGTATTCGGCTTACAACATACTAAAACAAATGTAAAAACGTCAGAAATATAAAGTAGAAAAAGAATTATAGTTTATTCTTTTTCCCCAATACAAATTTGTATTAATATGATTACAGTAACATTTGTATCATTACTATATGCGTATGCATAAGTAAAAATATTAAAACAGTTACAGTAAACAATTTTATTTGATATTAATACATAATTCATGTAATATTATTATGACATTTAAACAGAAAGAGTTAAAAAGAATTTAAAAATTAAAGAAGATTAAAGAATTTAAAAATATTTGATTATAGAATCTTAGATTTTTTTTACTATAACTGATAATGCAATATTGTTTTTATTGTCTCTTTTTCTCTTATCAAAATGTATTCGTATGGATTTAAATATTACTTTATCATAAGTTAAACTCATACACGTGTCTAACTGCATAGATTAATAGAAATCAGAAAGTAGCAGAAATCAATACAAGGAAGAAAATTTGTCATCCATCACAAATTATCAATAATTCACGTCCTTGAATTAAATATCTTTCTGTTCGATGTATACGACTTATCGATATTAATATTTTATGAAGAGTAAGTGCGCAGAATTCGATTCACCATGTGAGGGTTATTATATTTTATTTCTCGATTTCTAACATGTAATATCGTGAAACATAATTCTCATAAAGTATCATTATATTACAATATCTTCAAGCCGTGTTTAGCTGACTATACAAAGATAGTATTATGTGAAGAAAGCAATTGCAACATGAATAATAAAAATTATCAAAGAGACAGTTGAAAATAAATTGTGTTATTGCCGGAAGTTCATGGGGCTATAAACAGACATTTGATGATCAGTTTGTCGTAAGATTTTATTGTCAAATTATTTAAAAAATAATTTTCTTATAATATAAACTTTTTTATAATATTACCTAATAAAAATAATTTAAGAAAATTTAAGTAATTAATAATAATTTAAAATTTAAAAGTAATTTAAGAAAATTGTTTAAGATGTAATTTAGTTATCAATTTATACACGTACACATTATTATATAGATTTGTGCAATAATTTGATGAATAACTTTGCTATATTATACTTAACTTTTAATACTTAAAATTTTTAATTAAGTAAAATAAAAAATAATTCTGTATTTATAAAATTGTCAGAATTTTAAATACACAAATGATATGTGTTGTGTGTGTATTTGTATGTATAAAGATATAGAGTAAATAATAATTAATATAAAATAATATAAAATAATATAAAATAGAATAATTTATTGTAATTCTTTTCATAAAGGAGAAACACATCAATTTATAACATCGAAGAAAATATATTAAAAAAATGTTTATTCTGGCATTTACTTTTAAAATATTGATGATTTGTGGTTGTGGACTACTACATTCCTGGAAAACACCATATAAACGGTTAGTTTATCGTGTTTACACTATTTTCATAATGTTATTAATTCATTCATTTATGCTATCACAATTGGTGGATCTTATTATGATCGTGGACAATTCCAACGATTTTACCGATAATTTCTATGTTTTACTCGCTATGATTGTTTCTTGCTGTAAGATGTTCGCTTTGTTAATAAATCGCAACAATATTGTAACTTTAATCGAGACTCTTATGAGTAAACCATTCCGACCGGTTGAACCTGACGAAATGAAGATTCAACAGAAATTTGAAAAGCTCATACAGTAAGCATTCGTGAATT